CCCCAAAACCCCAAAACCCCAAAACCCCAAAACCCCAGGCCGCTATTGGATATTGCAAGTTCAAATATTTAATTCCAAACATTGTCGCTCAGGATCCATCTGTTGATTATCAAATTTTGATAAGTTAGATTGCTTTTGAGCATTTCGATACGTCTGGAACGTTAAAACACAACTTCTTAATTAGATAAAGAGCTAGTTCGCATGTCAACACATCGGCCATTATCAGCAAACTCTTGACTGTTATCGATTCGAACTCAATTATTCCACCTGAAAATGTGGATAGAAAGCGCTTCCCACCATTTAGTGAATATCTTCGAAATTATTAAGGCTCTGGAGTCCAAGAAGCCTCAAATGTAAACAAGGAAGCTCAATTTTAACTTACCCATTAGTTATGAAGTCCCCAGTTTGGTTAGATTAAGCTAATTCAACTTTGAAGAGTGGCTTTCAGATTGCGCTATTATATTTTGACTCTGGCAAACATTATTTGAGAAGCTTCTATTCATACACCAGAATTAATTTCAGGAATCAAGGCCAAGTGAGCTTCTCAGGAATAAGGCTTACGTACACCCTCAGAATCATGCTCGCAGGAAGGGTCTACTAGAAATGAAGAATCTATGGCAACGATAGTTTGAAATAGGTGGGCAAGATTTTAACAAACCCTTGGCTTCGGTTCAACATAAATGTAAATATTGTTTGAATAATCTTCAGGTCAAAATATTTTTAATTAAATAGATTAAAGCCTGCCTTCATTGGATTCCAAAATTTTTTAATCATATTCATGTTGTTAAATTGACAAGTGTCACAAGTTGTGGCTTACATGTAAACTCTGACTTATGTAGCATCGGGATATTGTAGCTACCAGCAATGTTTGGATATAATATTTCTAAATTTGGCTCATTCCCCATCCTTTTGTTTATGACAAGTTCTTGTTTAATCAAGAATTGTGAGTTACAGTTAAAATACCAGAGATATTTTTAAGATTTATAAGGTTCCAGATAGTTCGGATATGAATTTAGATAATTGTATTCTTAACTGAGCTCTAACTCATTCTTTCTCAACTAGTGCTTATTTACAACACTTTAAGGTCTTCCAGAGGCTTCTCCTTTTAGAGAATGCACTTAGATTTCCTAGAGCACAAACCTCATCTCAAATTGTGAAAACAAATTATGAAACTCAAGGTCAAACTAACATTTATGATGAAAAGTTGGGTGCTAGCCTATGTCGCTAAGTTGGCAAGATCGAGTCTGACTTCTTACCGTGATAATGCTCAAAGAAATAAGCATGTAGAGTGATCTAGCTTGAGAATATCCAAATGAATCAGAAAATAATCAATCAGCAACTACCAATTAAATGCAATATCTCTGAGCCTCCAACTGCATCATCCTCTACACTCGTGGTCGTCTTCAAGCGTAGCCTTGGTCTTGATGTGCTTGAAAAGTGACCCCTTCTGTGCAAAGTGCATCTCACAGGCTGCACGCACAAAGGGTTTCGCTTTCGTGTGGCGTTGAAGTGTTCAGTGCAATTCCACTTCTTGTTGAACTCCTTGGAGCAGCCAGGGAACTGACACTGGTAGGCTTTGTTCTTTCTTCCTGTGTAAGGGTTGACCACATGAGCCACCTTATGCATGCATTCTCTTTGAAATGTACACTCACAATTACATCAACACCATAAATATATATTCAATTTAATCGAGCATTTAAGGGGTTTTGGGGTTTTGGGGTTTTGGGG